CCCCATCTGAACTCTGTGCCAGTCTGATTCCATCTCTTCTCCCTCACATCTTTGCCCATCAGTGCTGCTGTGCTCTCATCTCTCCTTCCACTCTTTTCCTCTCTCTTTCTCCACTCATGAGTTGTTTGTGTTGGCAGAAAAAATCCAAACTGCACAGGAGACTTAAACTGGCACAATGTGTGGCGCCCATTCCACCTGAGGCCCCACTGTTCCTCTCCTCCTGTCTCCACTCATCCTCTCTCCTATCACAGTAACCCAAGCTATAAAAATGGTCAAGTGTTTTTTTTTATTTTTATTTTTTTTATTTTGCACTGGAAGGCTTTGTTTTACTGCTTTTGCTACATCTATAGTAAAAGGTTTGGTACGACATGAGAGTAAAAGGCAAAGTATTGAAAGACACACTTTGAGTTTTCTTTGCATTTTTTATCTTAATAATTATTCTTTCTATGAGACATGAAACAAAGCCACTAACCTTGTGAGATGAAATATTTTTTTCAAGAGCTGCAGCCATAAGACTTATTACTTATGCATAGAAGCAATGTCTTAAAAAACGAATGTGGCCTCAATGTTTCCCTTTTATTTTATCACAACGATGTCGGAACTTTATATTATGTCTCACATATGTATTAAACCTGATCCACACTAATATTTTCCAATTAAAACCAGTGCAACAATCTACCTTCAGTGTTCACTACCATATACAGTATGTTTTTTTAATATCGCTTTCAATATAAAAAGAACAAAACAAAAATGCACGCACCCTTTATAAACCCTTAAAAGATTTTTCCTTTACATACAGTTTCATTCACTTCATCAATAATACAAAAAAGAACAAGTGTGTGAATAGTTTTGCTAAACATTCTATTTAAAACAGACTTAAATATCAAAAGTTCTAGCGGAGTATATTTTACCGTTATCCAGGTTTCAGTTTAGTGTCCTGCTCTGGGTTTACAGCCCTGCAGGCAAAAGATACAGCTTGGCATTTTCCTGAATTAATTTGGAAAATGGACGTTAGAACAGCTCCTAGACTGTGGCCACCATATGGTTGCAGCCCTCGTGCAGCTGATGTTTCTTAGTTTTTGGCCTCACCACTACCTATAATGAGAGAGGGAGACTGATTAGTAATGCTCCACAGTTGTGCCAATCAGTCATACCTGGCACTTGTCCCTTAATCACACTAATCAACCTCTTCCTCTGCAGCTGAGAATCATCTACATCCCGCCACCTCGATGTCCAAGCACTCTTCTTTTGGCATGGCTCTGCTTGGACTTGTTTGGACAGTTTTTAGCTGATGTGTGACACAAAGCAGTAGATTACCTTGACCTTCAGGAACAAAACAGCTCTGGCCTTCAATTTTACACATTAGAGGGCCAGAGAGGAGAGAGAGAGAATTTTGGAGTGTGAATCCAAGAGCCCCACAAAGGACTGGCTTAATAAATCTCGTTTTATATTTAGAATGCATTAGAAGCATCTCCGTCAGTATATTTATTTTGGTAGTTAATAATTTTATGGAGATACGTAAACGTCACAGTTCTAAAACCCTTATTTATTTTTCATTTTTTGAAGCCTGCATTTCAATTTATTTGGCTTCAGCCTCCATTAAGGCCATTTGACACCTCAAAAAATAACCATTCCTCATTAAACCAAAATAAGCAGCCTACTGCTGGTAACTCCTTTTTTTTTTCTTTTTTTTTTGTTTAGATGCATAACCAAATGTTTTTGCAGCTGGCTAGATCATAGAAAATTACTCTGAATCATTGGTTGTCAAAGTGGTACAAACCATCTTCCTGGCAAGCAGTACTAACATCCTGTGGCACATCAATCATTTCAGTTTAGCTTGTTTATATGAGAAATGTAATCTCAAGTCAAGCAAATCCAATTTAAGTGCAGAAATATATTGAATTAATCCAATCCTATGGACAGCTTCAAATTAGATGGCGTACATTCCAATTCATTCATAGCTATAATAAGGGGAAGTCAAATTCAGTTCATAATGCCAATCAGAGCCATTTTCAGACACTATAGGGTACCATTGGCGGGTGGGACAACTGATGCCCTAAATGTGCTACTTTCACTTTAAACTAATTACTAAACTAATTACTGTTGTAGAGAAATATGTACAAACAACAGCTATTGATAATTACTATGCCTGTTTGGTGTCATTTACACTTTTTGTAGAAACATGAATATAAGCATGTAGGACTGAAATAATTAATTGGATTAATCGTGATTGATTATCAAAATGATCTGCAAGTCATTTAGTAATTGCTTAATCATTAACTGGAGAATAGCAGCAAAAACATGCCTTTAGCCACTGTTTTAGAGCAGTAATTATAATCATAAAATATATATATATATATATATATATATATATATATATATATATATATATATATCAGAATTTTGCATTTAAGATAAAAAACAAACCTTTTTGTTTGTCATTATGCTCTACCCAGACCTCTTCAAGTAAAAATTTTTTATTTTTCACCTGGTCTAAAGACGTCTTTAAACATCTTCAAGGAACCTTTTTTACTATCTGAATTTTAATTCATTCATAGAAGTGACAATTGAGAGATCAGTTGATAAGTAAAATGAGTTTTAGTTGCAGCCCTGAAAAACATTACATTGTTTTTCTCAGACTTTTTCCTGCATTTACCATCCGGAGATGATATCTGAAATCAATTTAAGGTAAGAAATTTGCATTGATCAGGCCTTTGATACATTTAGGTAAACAACAAAAATAGAGGTCCAACAATAACATACCTGAAATAAACATCAGCAATCTAGATTCCTGTAAAATTTTGAAAATACTGTATTCAATTCAATTTAGTTTATTTCTATAGCGCCAATTTACAACACATGTCAGCTCAAGGCACTTTACAGTTCACCAGATCATACAGTCAAATTGAATCAATGTTTTCTATCTAAGGAAAACCAGTTGATTGCATAGACTCATTGACTAGAATCCCTCACACTAAGCATGCTTGTAGCGACAGAAGAGAGGAAAACCTCCCTTTTAACAGGAAGAAACCTCCAGCAGAACCAGGCTCAGTGTGAGTGGCCATCTGCCGAGGCCGACTGGGGTTCAAGGAGACAGAAGAAGAAATACAAAAAGCACCTGTAAAAGACGGCCCCGTCCAGATCTTATCAGATCATATCTCCAGGTTTTCTGGAAACTTTGACAAACCCATGGCTAAATCACATTACATCTGACTGTCAGAGATTAGCTTCCTGAAACTTACTGCGGGAGTCTATAATATGTACAGTTTTTTTTTTCTCCATCCATTTTTTCCGTAACACTTATCCATACTGGGGTCACGAGGGGTGCTGGTGCCTATCGCCAGCTGTCAATGGGCGAGAGGCGGGGTACACCTCCGACAGGTCGCCAGTCTATCGCAGGGCAACACAGAAACAGACAAACATTCACGCACACACTCACATCTAAGGAGAATTTAGAGAAGCCAATTAGCCCAACAGTCATGTTTTTGGACTGTGGAAGGAGTACCCAGAGAGAACCCTCGCAAGCACAGGGAGAACATACAAACTCCATGCAAAGTCGAGAACCTTCTTGCTGCTACCCACTGCCACACTGTGCAGCCCAGTTTTTTTTTTGTCTGTTCTATTTATTGAATGAAAGTTGTACATTTGAAAGTGGTGATACATAGATCATGTGTTGTATTCTCAAATCATCTTCCAAAGACTACTCAAGCAAGAAGAGCATACTTGTTTTCACTTGTCTTTCACTTTGAACATGTTCAAAGTGGCTACAGATCCCCTTCTGGGTCAATGAGTTAACAAGATGAGTGCTTCTTCCAGGTATTCTGGACTCAGCTAGGATGACTGTGCTGCTGAATTGCAGGTCTAAGTGTGAGGCCAGAACTGTATTGAACATACTCATTTTCACTTGCATGGAAGTACAACAGCAAGAACACAGTAACATTAACACATAAAGTGAGAGCACTGTGAAGTCTCTTGAGGCAGCACTGTTAATCCTACTGATGATGGCTTGTCTGAACACTGGCCTGAAGAGAGATGAAGCTAATTCTCTTCACAAGAGTAATAAAACCGTGGGTCACCGAGGCTGAGCACGCACACACTTATCCACACAGGCTACAGTTAAAAGACACATAGACACGTTTTTCCTTCCTCCTGGAGTTTAGCCCCACACTCTGTGATAATACAATATATCAAGCCTCTCAATGCAATTTTGCTTCATCAACAGTCTGCTTCAATCCCTTTCTATAAAAATAGATTGCTAAAGCAATATCTTCGGCTTTGATGGCATTTTACAAACTGATATCGACTATCCAGTTTATTTTAGAGGAATAAAGTTAGAAACGCAATATTGTTTTAAACCTAATATTGTTTTTTTTATTTTATTTTGTCATGATATATTGCCTGCCACATATATATTTACACTTATCTCTCAGCATAGTTACCGTCACATGTCAGAATATATTATCTAAGCCAGAGAAAACAATATTACATTTCTTATTGAAGGTCAGCAGTTCTTCACCTTTTAGCTAACAATGGAAACATGCACACAAGCACTCGGAAACACACCAACATAAACTGATGTCCTCAAAAGAGCTTATATCAACTCTGACATTTTTATACGCACATGCCTGGTGCAAAAAGAGATGGAAATGCATCACTGAACCATTGTTTGTATTTCAAATTCCCAGGAGAGCATTGTGACTAGGTGTTCCTGTCAATCTCAGAGGCATTTATGTGTCTAAACGTGTTGAGCAAATCAATTACAATCACAGACAGCTATCAGTAGTCAACATATTCATATAAAAGTATGAAGTTTGACTGTTATTTATGTGTCATCAGATTGATTTTGAAGGGATCAACAAACAATTTTATCCTTTCCTTGTCTGCATTTTTGTCTGTCATACAGTAGTTCTCTGTTGTGCAAAATGAGTAATACGGTGGGGACACAGATTATGAAAAGACTGATAGGTTGCCCTTTGCATTTTTTTGTGTTTCATTGACAGACGGGACTCCCTACACATGGTGGGTTGGCAGAGGCAGTGAGAAACATTTTTACTGGGGCGGATCAGGACCTGGTATCCAAAAGTGTGCCTGTGGCATTGACAAAAACTGCACCGACCCCAAATACGACTGCAACTGTGATGCAGACGCCAAGCAGTGGTAAGTGATTATGACTTTATATCCTTGACAGGAATCAAATGGACTTCATTCTGGGTTGTTTTTACTTGCTTCAAGAGTTTTGTGCTTAAAATCTTTTTAGTAGCAAAAATAGATATTTGAATTGGGCAGTATTAAAAACTCAATGTTTTGTGGACATGAACAGGGATACAGGCCTTTAGGAATTTTTACCTGCACCCCTTTCAAAAGGGCGAACTGGGTGTCGCAGTTTCAGATTAAGAGTTAGATTATATACTGGAAGCTTCATATGACCATTCCAAGCCTTATCCTCTGACTGGACATCAACATCTGATAAATTGTTAGACATCAATGAAAGTTTTTTTTTATTTTTTTTTTTTTAAAGCACCCCTTGGGTTTATAAACTTTTATTTATAAAGAAAAATAACAAAAAATAATATCATGAATACCACTTAATTTAACAACATCCAAAACATTGATTACAGATCTTTGAAAACACTCTTTAAGAAACATGTAAATATATATATTGGAAAACCATTGGAAAACCTTTGGTTTTCCAATGTAAGCTTCTCTAGATGTGAACTGATTTTGAATGCTGTGGTAAAACAAAACAAAAGTGAAAACATTTTCAAAAGATACATCCAGAAAAAAAAACATCAAGTTGTATTTGATTTTATATATATATTTTCAATCTTGATTATTAAAATGAACATGTTTGAATTATTTCTCAGAGTATGTACATTGGTCGACGTCATCCTCTTGATGATGTGTCACAGTGAAATTTATTTAGGTGCATGAATCTGGCATGTGAACCACTTCAGTTTGATACTGTAATTTATTTCTATAAATTCAAAAATGTGTAATAGTAATACAGATACTCAGCTAAGATGTCAGGTTAAAATCTATTCATCCGTTTTCTGTACCATCTTTATCAATACAAGTCAGGGTAGTTCCATTTACTATTGGACAAGTTGGTTATATACACGTGTTTTTTTTTTTGTTTTTTTTACTGAAAATCTTGCAACTGTAATGTAAGGACATTTAGGTCATAATACCAATTAGTCAAAGCATGTTCTTTTGCAACACCTGTGTTCCTGTATTTTAACACACTTGTTTCAGTTGCTTTTATCCCTGAATTTTTTAATAATAAAGAAAAAGAATAAAAATAAAATAACTAAGTTAAGACTGTTGAAAGCCATCTCACACTCGGTGGAGGGTTCCCTCAACCCTGAAATAGCTCGAAAAATGTGTAAATATGATGATCCTATCTGTCATATCTGCCTTTCGTTACAGAAGTTGCACATTTACATGAACCAAAATTAATAGATCAACTGTGCAACCAAGAAATCCAAAGAAAGATTTAAGCCGCATAGCTAAAAAAACAGATTAGGTATTAAAAATTAAATGAACACAAAATAATGCATTTTATTCTCAATGCAGGAGCATTTCTAGAAAAATGGTGGCATCAAAAATCTGTTGACAGATCAGAAATCTATGTGACTGTGAAGCAGAACAGACCTCATGCTTTTTATCTTTCTCTTTTTGCCCCTCAGCTCCAGAGTTTGTGCACGTGTCTGTGCAAGCTGTTTATCTAGAACCATTATAAATCTATCGAGCATCCACCTTTTGAACTTTGGTGGGTTTTGGGTTTTCTTTTGGTTTATTTTATCAAGCTGCAATGTTTCTTCTCAAATTATCAGAAATGTGTCAAGCAGAACATACAGCTCAAAGTAGCATAGTTAACACACTAACCACAGCATAAGAAGTGCAAGATACCTAATATAAAAATGAATGCAGATTAAATATATACGGTATGTGCTATAACAGAGGTAGATTGTATTTCATCGTTTAAAGCATCCTGGTTCACTTAACTGTTGCTGTGCTTTACTTAATTTCTATAAGGTTTAAAAGTCCAACATAGAAGATACGCACTGGGAATTGTTGAATCGATGTAGTTTGGAGTTCAGCCTTGTTATGGCCGTAGGAAAAGGATGAATCTTTACTCTTGTGGGTTTTTCATTGTTGTTGCTGTTGTTTAAATGGATCTGATGCACCTACTAGAGGGCAACAGGTCAAATAAGGGAGAACAAGCAAGAGGTGCATAGTGTCCCTTTGGATTTGGTTGCTTCTTATTAAGTTCAATAGAATTTTATAGAAACACAAGGAAAGAATATCTGTTTAGTCTCTTTACAATTAAGATAGAAGTGATCAACTTACTTTTTGTCTCATCTCCAACTGCTAATGGCAATGTCTAAAGGGTTCAGGTAAATTTTATATACTCTAAGGAAGCCCAGGGGGTCAGAGGGTCAGATCTTATTTTGCATTCAGATGTGCCATTCAGAACTTCATTTGGAATCCAAAAAGGCATTTGAGTAGAATGAGCTCATAGCTACAAAAAAACAGTATGTCTCTGAAAGAAGCTCCCAGATGATGGTCAATAGGTTTATAAAAAGATGTACATCGTCATCAACAGCAACACTCAAGTATGTAGCATTCAGATGCTCAGATGGCCCAAATGTACCAGGAAGAATCCCAAAAAGAATTTAACCACAACCATAGCCTTTAAATCTTAAAAGATAAATTAAGACTCATTGGAATGAGCAGCATTTTTTCATCGTTATTTCCAATCTGCTTTCTTTCGATTTCAGTGAAGTTTGTCACTACCTGATCCGGAAACACAAGCCATATCATCAGCTCATTTGTGCATGTGCACGCAGATACTTATCCAGGTCACCATAAATAGTGTAATTATGGTACTAAAAGCACTTATTTCTATCCTTAAATCACTAAAGAATGCTAATACACATCTTTAAAACTTTTTTTTATGACTTTTCTGATATAATTTAATGTTTTTTACATTTTCTCTGTTAAACTACATTATCATCGGCGGTCCGGAAAAATATGATTAAACCATGTTTATCTACATTTTGGTTGTTTCTTTCTTTAGATTACGCACTATATACCATACACTTAAAAATAAAATAAAATATAAAACTCATAAAAACTAGATTTATGTTTAAATCCACAGCTGAAAAGTTTGCTCCTGGAAGTAGTGAAGGATTCCATATCCAGCACAGACAAATGATAAAACAGAAACAATTTTCATGCATTTAAATTTATCCAGAAATACATTATTAACCTTTAACACGTTATAGTTTAGTATTCGTACTATATTTAAGCAGGGGAGAAAATGTAATTTTGGTATTTTTTTACAAAATTAAAGTCGAGGGTGACCCGGATATATATCCGGTTAAGCACGCGCAAATGAGCTGATGGTACCGATTGTGCATCCCGGACGGATCGGGTTGTGACAAAGCTCTTTAATCTATTGTATCAAATTCCTGGCCTTGTATGTTCTTCTGCTGCCATAGCTCATCTGCTACAAAGTTTATTTTATTTCTTTTTTTTTGTCATTTAGAGATGGCTTCTGAATACTTTATTTTCTAACAATGCGGTAATTAAACGACTGTTACCTCTCTATCATCTCAAACCAGCCTAACATTTTCTTTATCCTTAAGTAGATAAATACATCAAGCTGTTGCCATGCAACTGGCTTGTTCACTTTTGTTTCTCCAAGCACTTGAGCAGGTGAGCATGATAAATTAGCTGAGTGTAAATTATTTTCTATATGAAGCCTTAAATCTACGATGACATAATTTATTTTGTTGTTTCTAAGCATAACTGTATGTTAGCTAATACATAAAAAAGAAACAGCGAGAAGGTCCGCACAAAAAAGATGTTTATCACATTGAAAGTTTTCTGCAGGATTTTTAAAATTAAAAAATTGAACAAGTGGGTTTATTGTAAGTAAGATAATTTTTTTTAGCATTAATTTTTTTATGTGTGCACCTTAATTCCTGTAGTCCTACATCTGTAATTGTGAGAGAGAGTACATAATTTAGGTTTGTTATTATTAGAAAATAGCATTTTTGCAAAAGTCTTATCAAAACTCTACAGCAATTATAAAAGGTAACGATTGATCCATGATTCCTCTTTTAAGAGAAATATTTTAAGAAGGTTAGGGAAAGAACACAATCTGTAGCACAAGTCATTAGCCGTAGACATGTTTTCCAATAGAGCCAGACTCTTAAAGCAGGGTTTGTGTTTTTTCTGCTCCCCAATCTAGACACCTGTTCAGAGCACATTACAGTTTATCAGTGAGCTGCACAATGAACAACTATTTCACTTCACTTAAACAATATCAAAAATCATTGTTTTTTAAATGCACTGTTTTGAGAAATCAGACACTTACCTGCCTCTTCTAAGATTATTTAACAAGTAATTAACCTGACTTACTCTGCCTGATAAAAAAAATCATACTTCACATAATAACAAGCCGTCATCCCAGGGACAGTTATGTAACACGTTTAATTGTTCTTCTGGGACAGAAGAGCATTTGTCATCTAGTTGAAACCACCCACAAATTTTCACACTTTTCAGATGAACAGATTGAACTTGTACAGTGTTTTAGTTTCATAATACTGCGTCTTTTTCCGATTGAGCTTCAGGTGTTGCTAAAAAAAAAAATGCTGCTTTGAGATGACAGAGTCTGCCTAGAGCCTGTTGTATTTTATCTGTTTTGTCAAATAGAAAACTCTGAATAATTACACAACTGCTCTTCAAGTGTTTCATGTCTGACTAAAAAAAGGAATTTTAGATTAATTAGAGCGGAGATCTTCAACAGGGGGTCCTTAACCCTAAGGGGGTTCGCGGAGGTACTGAATGGGGGTCACGAAAATTTTGGTTGATTGGACTTTTTTTTTTTATATTCCCTCCTGTAATTTCTTCCACTAATTGAAATGTCTTTAAATACACATTAACATGAATTCAAGACACTGTAGTAAACAGATAAATGGAGGCAGAAGATGCCTTTCAGTCATCAATGCACACATTCAGCGATACACAGGAACTCTTTCAAGCTGGGCACCGTTTCATTCACAACACCTGTCCCATCAACCAGGAATCAGAATCAGAAATAGTTTAATAATCCCAGGGAGAAATTACTTTCATTACATTACTCCACCTGTAATAGAGTGACTATAGGACCTGTTTGATATAACACAATTTCATACAATGTATATAATTAGGGGGTCCCCACTCCATCTCGCCATCAGTTTGGGGGTCCTTGGCCTGGAAAAAATTAAAGACCACTGACTTAGAGGTATGATATCTACAGTCAAATACTGGATAAGATTTTCATATTTTATGGCAATAAACAAAGGTTAGTATTAGCATTAGCAACTGGCTGGCGAACAGTGCAGAACCTGAGTGGGGGTGTGCGCCACTTACTGGCCTGGATGAGTTAAAGAGGCTGAGCTTTTTTGACTTGGATTGATTTCTCTTATTGCATAGAGGAGGCAAATTAGCTGCCTCCTAAAACACTGAAAATAACTCTTTGGCAGAAAATGAAATCCAAAACAAAGGAGTAAAAGGCAAATTTTAACTTCAATTGTAACTGGATACAAATATTCTGATAGGAAACATCACAGGTTGTTACACTGTTCATCCCAAATTATCTATGGTACGAGCAGGCTTATTGCAGCTGGAAAATGTTGATTCAAAACCTTTTCAATTTTCATTTAACCAAGAAGCTTGTTCAAAAGGAAATTAGATAAGTGTTTCCTAAAATATTAAGAAAATTTTGTCAATTTTAAAGAACAAGCTAAATATATCTTTATTTATAATGTAATAAAGTTGGAGTGATGACGTCAGCCTACAGCTTTTTGGTTCAAGTCGAGACTGTCTGGGGTACTCCAAAATATTAGCAGTTCTTTCATTCTGGAAAATAAATAAATGAATTAATATTATTTAAAAACTAAATACAGTAGGCTAGTAGTATTAATAATTTACAGCTTAGCTGTATATATCCACACATATCCAAGTACTGTATGACTCTATATAGATTTATCAGTTTATTTGGTTGTGATTAAGTTGCACACATATTCTGTTTAGCTAAATAGTTCATTATTTTTCATTTACCCAGTAGAAGCAGTGACTTACTTCCTTTTATAACTATTATTGTTGTAATCTGCATCTTACATATTCATCAGAATTAGTAATACCTACACATGAACAGGTTCGCTTACAAATTACAAATTGTTTTAATGACTGCACTGATTAAAACAAATCAATTCAAATTAACAAAATATGACCATGCTTATGTGAATATGTATGTATTAACCTAACTAATAACACCATAGTGATATGCAGATCAGATGGTAATTATTATAGCACATTCAAGTTTAGAAAGAAAAATTGCCACTTAAGTAGGGAAAGAAATGATGATATAACATACATAACTCTAGAAACTATGAAGAGGCAACTCTAAATGATTCACTTTGTTCAGTTGTTTTTAAAACAGCAATCAGGCGTGGGAAATGGAGATGATAGTAAATGGAGAGATTGGGTAAGAAACTATCTCTGCTGCTCACAATAACTGTTTTTTGTTGTCAAGGACAAACGCAAGTCAGACAGGATCAGTAGGCTTGCATGTTTCTTCTACCGTGACTTTGAATCCCAGAGGAATCACTACAAGATGCACACAGCATGAAGCCAGGATTTCATTTTAAAGAAACGTTGAAAGAAGTTTAATTTTCCTTGACTTTTGGTTTACAAATCAACTTTTAAAAGGATGCTAAATGGCATGGGGTAAACACTTCCTAATGACCACCTCATCTGGTCTGGTCACCAGTTTATTAGAAGAGATCTCAATATCTGTGGTGGTAGGAAAAAGGTTTTTCTCTTGGAGTCTTGTCCAAAACAGGGTTTAACCTTCATGAAAACTGTTGTTATTATAAAGACAGTCTGACCCCAAGATGCCAACCTATGATTCAATTTTCCTATATGGAGTTTTAGATGTTTTTTCATTCTTTTCTTTGTGGTAGCAACGTAGTGACTTAAAATATTATCACATCTGTCACAATCATGTATTTGAGAAAAACGAAAAACATTCTCACTTTGATTAAAAAAGAAGATTCAGTTTCACTAACACTAATCTGACACAAAGATTAGCATCTGTCTGAACTTTCTCTAACCTTTTGAATCTCTTTACCTTTTGAAATTGAGTAATTTGTGAAAAATAACTTTTTCAAGATTGATTTCTCCTAGCTTAATAAAAATAAATAACATTAAAAGATAATTTATTTGTTTTATTTTTCTTTAAACTTTTATGGTGCACCAGAGATGATGAACATACTTCCACATGTTTTGCACCTCCTTGTTGCTAGTAAGCCTACACTTGCATTGCAATGACTGCATGCCTGAAATGGTGCCGTGCATTTCTGCAGTATGCCTTAACAGATGCTATGTTTTCTCAAGGACAAATATATATATACGTGCATATATATTTTCTGAGTCACTATTTAATATCACATTTTAAAACCTGATGAGAAAAATTAGAGAAGCAGAAATATGACTTGTAATGAGTAGTGCCGGACAGGAATCATGTGTTATTTTACAATATTTAGTGAGTTTTTTTGGCAACATTTAGCAGAGCTCAACAATAAAGAGTTTTAGAACAGCAAGCAGGAAAGATGTAGATTTAAAAAGAAAGCTAAAAAGACAAATCGTCAGCTTGTAATGTGGGGAATCTTTCTTTTTCTTCTTTTCTTTTTACCAGGAGGAATGATTCTGGTCTCTTGACATATAAAGAGCACCTGCCAGTTAGCCAGGTTGCTGTTGGTGACACAAACAGACCGGGCTCTGAGGCCAAACTCACTGTTGGACCACTCCGCTGCCATGGAGATAGTAAGTATTGTGCCATCTAAACACATGTACTTGGCTGAGGAGGGGTGGGCTGCTATTGGAATAGATAAAAAATTACTTGGATGGCTAACAAAAAAAAAGCTTGTAAAGAATACTGCCATAACAGCAGCTGAGCATGTTTTTATAATTGTTTATGTAATATTTGTAATCTGCAAGTTTGATTTGTTGAGCTATATAGAAGTTGATTGCTTGTGTTTTGTTGTTGTTGTTGTTGTTTTTTTTTTTTTTTTTTTTTTTTTGGGGGGGGGGGGGGGGGGGGGGGTGTAATGCTATTTCTTTTTGTTTTGGTACCAGCGTTTGCAATTATAGTTTTCTCAATGTTGAATATGTACAGAAAATGGTTTGCAAATTGAAGAAATAACTGTGAAATTCCGGAAAGATGAAAGTAAACAAGGTTTTATTTGCAACTGAACTAATCATGACAATAATTGCCTTGCTCAAAAAGGAACATTATAACTTTCACAAGAGAGATTACGACAGACAGACAGACAGACAGACAGACAGACAGAAAGACAGATCACTGTACTCTGACGGAGTGTCCAATTCTCTATTTGCATGTCCACTCAATATTAATGAATTAATCAATAAATTAATTAAATATAAAAAATAATAATAGATAAATCAATTCCAGAGAATATTTGAGCCAAACAACCATGTACCACACAAAAACAGTGATTGATTACAGGTTAAATATAAAAGTAAATTACATTTTTAGTTCCAAATAACTTCAATTCATTTAAACATAGACAGAAGCCAATAAAATAAACACAATGTTCCACTTAACAAATTATCAGTATATGTAGCCTTAGATCTGACATTGATTATTGATTAATTTAATATTATTGATTACTATTATTATAATATGAAGTGTTTTGATTATCGATTATTTTTCCTACTTAAAGCTTTGAGTATTTATAAAAACAAAGCATGCAACACGTTCATTTGTTTTAGTTGTTTAAAACCAAGATGGTGCCTAAAACACGGGGATTGTTCCAAGCCCAATTGATTGAAAAACAGGTACTGTATCTAAATTATAACACTTAGTTGTGATAGATTAGCTCTTTTGTATCTTGTTGTGTAGGTACTGAATCATGGTAATAATAAGTGCCTTAAAAGGAAGGCAAGTAAAATTCATGCAAGGTTAATAAAACATTAAGGATTCTTGAAAGAGATTAACAATCTTCAAGAACCAAGAAAGGCAGCTCATTTACCTTTTATTCTGGAGACACTAAGTTGAAAGTTATGGAAGAGACTAGAGGAGCCTTGTGATCCCTTGTTTCAGAGCACGTAAAAAGTTGTAGAAATGTAACCCAGAGATAAATCACGCTGTGCATATTGAAAACAGTAAGATCTTAGAATGAACTTTAGAAGAACTTTCAAAGCCATTGTGAACACATACAGATTAGCTTCTGGGGTAAAGGCGACCTTTGAACGAGGCTGAAGGACTGCGGTTACAGTGACCTAATTGAGAAGCAGTATGTGTGTTAATGAGTTTCTCCAAGTCTTCTGTGGAGGGAAGTCATTTCATTTTCAAGTCATTTCTCAGCTGGTTGGAGAGACTGCATAACCTTTGTGACGCTCACATCAAAGGTTGAATGAAGAGAGCACCCCCCTGTCACTGTGATATGGGTCTTATTAAAAGTCATCGTTTCATATATTGTGTGCAGCTTTTAAACAGTCGGAGAGAGCAAAGGCCACCTTTGTTATTTGGTGCTATAGGAAACCATTTATGGCACTCCAGCTGGGTTTTTTTAAGAGTGTCTATCACCATAGAGTCAATACATGAATTATTTCACTGAGTAAAAATCACACTGACTTTAGTGATCCATTGTCTTATTGTTCTACATCTGTCTTCACCTTTTTATGTTAAAAATATCTAAAAAAAAAATTATACAGACAAAAGAAAACAGCAGAAAAACATAAATAAAAACAAATTCAAATCACTGGTTACTGAACACATTGCTTAGGTTTTTAGCTGGTAATTTTATAACTACATTACGATTGAAAATCACTCAGTGCTGATCCTGTGAAACATTCAGTACAAATAGACTAGAAAACTTTGTCTTGACAGATTAATACCATGCTATAAAATATTCCTTTTAGGCTTTTTCTGAATTAATGGATTTCAAAGGTCTTCCAAACGTGCAAACAAAGCATCTAAAAAAAAAAAAGAAAGAAAAACGATGTGTAAACAATTTCCAATGAAGGTGTTAACTTTCTCCCTTAAGGGAGATAAATGGTTATGGTGTTTTTTATGTTTCTCAGTCATTACTTGCAAGAACTACTCCTTTAATCCCGTCACAAATAAAGTGTGATTTAACAGCTACCATAGCATTCAAACTTGACCAGCTCCTCTCTGCTTGATGAATCTCACTCAGTTTAGGAAGTTATAGACTAGGGCCATTAGCAGAACAAGGCCATAAATGGGTTAGTAAATAATATATAAATATATTCACTCTCTGCATAACCCTTCTGGAAAATGCTGTGCTTTTGGATTTTACAGCAAAATCTCCTATTGCAGACAGAAAAGGGTAAAATGAGGAGACAGTGATATCCTTTAATTAATAGTAGAGAAAGGTGCACCCACTGCCCTAAATTTACTTCTTTTTCTTATGTTTAAACATAGTATGGCACAGTACAAAACACAAGGTGATACAAGTAAAAATGTTGTCCTGCAAACATATTATCCACTTTACATGTCCATCTAGTTATAGAGATTACATTACCATGGCCAATTTGTGTTATGCAGCCATCTAGCAATTTTTTTTTTTTTTTACCTTATTAGCCTTGATGGTTTGCAGGGGGTCATTATCTCCACCAACCACTGGGCAACAGGCAAGTTGTTACCTGGACAAGTCACCAAACCATTGAAAGCTGCACAATTTAAACAACAAAAAATACGCAAAAACTTATAATTACAGTTTAAAAGGCCAGTTGAGATAACATGCATGTTTTCAGACTTTGATGGAGTTGGAGTACCTGGAGAGAACCCAGGCATGCATAGAGAGAACATGCAAACTCCCTAGGCTTGAAGTCAGGACCTTCTTTCTACAAGGGAAATAGACCTGATTGGATATATGCCATCATTTTTGTTAAGAAATCTGCTCATTCCAGCTTTACAACAGACCAAGTCTCTTGTGTGGTTTCCAGGACCTCTGTGGATGTTTAAATGTTACTGAATTGTATTTACATAGTAAAAAATTAAATGAATCATGTTGGCAAACAGAAAGCTACACAACATAGTACCCATTCTTATTAATCCTACAGCTACAGTATGTACCATGCAGGGATCGGGTGTTTCCTAACATCTGTAAAACTTTTGTCTATATGTAGGAGATTTCTGCCCCTCCCAGTCAGTTTGCCTTTATATGGAGTAAAAAAATTTAATGCAGCTAACCAATGATATAAGAGGAATAGAATCAAATAGAATAGTATAGAATTTAATAGAATGGAATGGAATAGAATAGAATAAATACATACAATGCAATGAAATAGGTAAAATAAAGCATTTGAATAGACTGTGGAAAACAACCAGACACTGAAAGGTCCCCTATCTCAACATCATCCCCCTGATGTTGAGATTGTGGTTGCATCTTATTACAAAATGAGCAGAGAGCATACTGATCTCTATTCAGGAGAATAATAATGACGCTGTATCCATACCTGTATCTCTGACCTAATTCCATTAACCCATGATGTTTTGTATAGGTTTAGTTCATGTCTTCCAGATCAGCATTCTTAATTATAATTAAACATTCTCACAGCAAATACACTTGAGGAAATGGAAGGATTTCATGCTACCTGTGCCTTCCTATTTTAAAGATAGGAAGTATGACCTGAACAAATTGATTTTGATTACATATTCTTACATAGTTAGCTGCTGCTTCTTAAGCACCTTCACTGCTGTAGACAAAGAACTCATATACAATATACAGTAATCCAATTGAATACTGATGCAGCACTTTCTATCCTTTTAAATTACTGGAACCACTTTTCTTGTGCATTTGACTATTAAAAGTTAATTTTCTGTTGTAACTTAAAAAATAAATACTTGGCTGTCCTGCACTGAGAAATTCCTGCCAGCCATAAATTGCTGCATCTATATTACTCATTTTAAATCCTAAATTACACCTAATTTGTTCTCAGAAGCCCTTGAAAGCCTCTTTAAACCCTGATTTTTCTTCTTTGGTAGACAGTCTCACCTCACAAATAACATGAAGCAAGTATTTTTCTCTTCTTGGGCATTACGTTTATTAGGTGGAAGCAGAGGTGCAGGGTTATAAATTGTAGCTTGTAGTTTAGATTTGACGGCCACCTTCATCTTTATTCCTTCCTTTTTGGTAGCCTATGGAAAACTATCCGATTTCACTTTATGAAGCCACACGCTAAGCTTCCGTTGGTTAAAGATGAAAGCCTGAAAAGCTCTGCATCTTTCAATGTGTCTGAGCTTTGCACGTCAAAACAGGTCAGAAAGGATGCATGTATAACTGTGCTCACTGCATATGATTAGGTACAGAATAACTAATCGCTTATATGCAGCTACCACTACCTTTCAAGTTGTTCCTTACACAACAAATCCTGCAATAACAATGCCAGAAAGAAAATTGTAATTTGTTCAAACCAACTGCTTGGTGAGATTGTTTTGGTGTAAGGCCAGAGGAATGGTAAGATTTGATGCAAATTAAAACAAAAGTTACAAGGGAGCAATTATAAGTCAGCTGGAGTTCTGCCAGTGTAATTCAGGTATAATGAGTCTATAGTCTTGGAATGTGACTTGCATAGCATGTTAGGGTTCAAAATCTCTAATGAAAGAGCTATACAGGTTCATCCTAAAAAACCCTGCTGTTAAACTCCACATGGCATCTAGAAATCCCAGAAATGCTGCATTTTAACTGGAAAACACCAAGAGGGATTCTCAGACTACATCATGTCTAAAGGGTAATGTAGCTCCCAGTTAATTCCCACAAATGACACACAGACCC